AAATCAGTGGTTAAGTTGTATTTACAACACTGTTCCAGAACAGTTCAACCCAAATATTCAGATGTGAGCAGCACATTTTATGGAGGACTGTTTCCTGATCCTGGTAGAGTAGACTACAATGCCGGCTGTTCAGACTCACAGACTGTAAGTACGTTTTTTTATATTTAAAGGATTTGCCACTGATGATTCAAATGTGAGTTTTGGGCAGTGTAGAGTAGCACTTGTTGTTTGTCATTTCTCCGATCACAAATGCAGACTTGGTTTTATGTTTACGCAGCGCGATGCAGCGCAACGCGTAAAAAGACAGTATAAGTCATTATAATCCATAATTATGTCCCCACTGGATGCAACAAATGCCTCGTTTATAATGGGTTTTAAAGTTTTTGTCTCGTCGCTCCGGCCAGACAGGGCATCACAGTATGGTAAGGGGCGTAACATTTCCGTCACATGCTTGAGGTATTCGGCCAATCACAACGCACTGGATAGCTGGCCAATCACAGCTCACCTCGCTTTTCAGACTGATGAGCTTTGTAAAAATCTATGCGTTTCAGAAAGGCAGGGCATAGAGGAGAAACAATAATGTACAGTATGTGGAAAATAATGTGTTTTGAACCTTAAACCGCATAAACACATTTCATTACACCAAATACACCAAATAATGTTCTTTTTAGCAACATCATATGAACCCTTTAAGGTACAAATACCCCTGAAAATATAGCATATTTATATTGTCATATTTTGTTGCACTATATTTTTGGTCTCCTTGTGAGATGTCTTGTCATTGACACAATATTATCAACCTGCTCGGGTAACTTTGGAGATTTGGTCATAACAGACCAATTAAAAAGTCAGACCTGCATTTGTTTGGATAATTATTTTAATACTGAAAATCAGAGGTCCTAATAGGTCCTTGCTTTAAAGCCAACACTATAAAAATTGTATTTTAACTCTAAACAACTGTAAATATGCTCCAGTAAAATCATGTTATTTAGTTATTAGCAGGGACGGCACTAATGAGTGGGCTAAGGGGGCTGAAGCACTGTCACTGTGAAGCAACAAATATAGATATTAATTATAGATTTATATGCAGTCTTCCTAGGACACACACGCATGTAGAGTGATTATATGAACAGTTTGGTTAGCATGGTCAGGTCTTCGTTCCTGATTGAATGAATCAGTCATTTTGAAAGAATTGATTGAATAAATGACTCAGCGACTCGACTCACTTATTAAAACAGTCGCTTGCAGCCATCTTTACTGGTCATTTTAGTTTCATATTTAAAAGTATCATTTCTGCAATTTGTAAGTGCCGTGTAAATGCATGTACAAGTCCTAAAAAAAATTAGGCCTATACTTTGCTTTAAAAATAAATAAATAAATAAAGCCACTTAGTCAATGTAACTTTTAAACATAATCATATGAACTTTTAAGCATTATTATAGAAATAACCCACTAAACCTTAAGAATAACCCAACAAGCAATTCAAAATGTTTAACCCAGATATTGGGTACAGTAAACAACCCTACGTTTTTTAGAGTGTAGAAAAATATTAATTAATTTGCTTAATTAATTGCTTAATTAATCCTGCTGCTAGCTAAATTTCACATAAACAAAATTTACTTGCTCTAAATCTCTCTTTATTCAAAGTTTATCTAGACAAGTATATGGAAACTATCTAAATAAGAGTTCTGTCATGTTGTAGACCCCTTGTTCACTTTTAAACAGGTTATAAGATTTAGAGTAGGTTGGACACTAGGTGGTGCTTTGGGGTAATTTTCACTATAAGCTACTGTCTACTACACAATGTAAGGCTGTCTAATTCTAACATTCCGTCTTTTTTCGGTAAAGCACCATTCACACATCAATTTCAAAATCAGTGGAACATTTTCTAGGTAGGGCGCCACATCCAACAATTTTAGCATATATCTGTGTTGAGACGTGCTGGAGTTGCGTTTGGTCTCGTGCTGTATCGTGAGTGACCCATGTCAGTTTCGTGCACTTGCTTGGCCCTTTTTTGTGATAAACAAAGTGTGTTCAAGCACCAGCAAAAGACTCGAACAGTGTAAAGAAGTGAAGTTATTAAACGTAATTTCGGGAGGAGTACGCCCATCTAATCTTCCAATTAATACCAAGGTATAAAACCAGCATCTTGCCTCTTCCTGTTGTTAATGTAAAGAAGTGAAGTTATTAAACGTAATTTCGGGAGGAGTACGCTCATCTAATCTTCCAATTAATACCAAGGTATAAAACCAGCATCTTGCCTCTTCCTGTTGTTAGTTCTTTTGGCATCCCTCCTCCTCCCCTTCTCCGCCTTTTTTGTACAGTTTTGCCTGTTATAGAGGGGCAATCAGAGCTCAAGTAGAATATCCTCTCTAAGCCTCTCTATAGCAGACAGCAAGCCAAATCTGTTTACCACTTGCGCTGGGCACACAAACTCTGAAATACTCTTTAACAGAAGCAGTCAATCAGCTGAAGTTAAAAGCAGTGTGTAAGTGTATTTATTTTCTTATTGAGACCCCAGAGGAAAGAAAAATCTAAAGTGAGATCTCAAATATTTCTCCTAGACAGAAATGAGGTTACTTTAAGATCGAATGGAGATTTTTGTTTGAGTCTCCTGCTTCTCAAACTTGTCTCTTGAGACAAAAACTCTAACACTCTCATATTTGTCTCCTTTAAAGTTTTAGAAAAGACCTCATCATCATCACACACTGCTCAGATTTTTTCTCCTTAGAGACACCAGATCTCTCACATTTGTCTCTACCTAAAGATTTTGAAAAGATTTACATAAATTA